GACTCTGGTTTTGCCTAAAACCAAAAGTGATTTTGTTCCAACAATGATTCTTAAAATCACTTTGACAAGACTTATTAAGAAAAAAAGATATATAAGAATCCAAGAAAATTGAAGAAAAACCAATATATAATGAAACCAATATATCCCCTAAAGTATATTAGGGCAAAGACATTTAAACATTTTTTGCTGCCTTCCTGGTGGTATTTCCACTTACAATAAAAGAGCTTGTAAGTAGTTGTTTAAACAACAGCCTTCAGGATAATTGTATCTCCATCCTAATATCCCCTGGAGAGTGAAGGTAAGGTTTTCATGGAAACCTGATGCTCTCATACAGAATTTTGAAACCATTGGGTTTTCATATAATATACTTCATCCAACCGGGAAGCCTACTTGAAAAGGAATATAAAAACATTATTTGACAACCTGCCATGTATTACCTCTTGAGAAACCTTGACTAATAATACCATCTACCTAGAAAAGGGACACAATTCCCTTCCATTCCTTCATAAGGAAGAAATTTTTCTACACTGTCTGCAAAATTTGGGAGTTGTAGCACATGGAAAGAAGTTTCCTTTAAGTAGATTTCCTTTTCATGAAATGGACTTGTTTATCTTTTGAAGGAAAACTGTCATTGTGCAATTGGCTTCCTGTCATGAAAATACTCTGTCTTTTTTCATCATTTTCTGTTCAATTCCACTAATAGGATATCAACATATTCAAAATATATTGCATATAATAGAATTTAATACATTTGAAAATTAACAATAACTCTTATATAACTATTACAACTTCTTCACTGGCTTGACTCAGATCAGATACTGTCACTGAGAAAAAAAGTGTTAATTTATTGTTAATGTCCCCATTCATGTACTCATGGTGTGGGTTTGCTTAATCCCATGCTGAAAAACATTCAGACTTCCCCTATGAGCTTCGGTCTAGCTGCCATTGATTTCCAGTTTCAGCCACTGATACTCATTTGTCCATAAAGATACTGATACCATTAGAAATTCTTTTTAGCACCTCTGGAAGTTCTATTATGTTCTGATCAATTCCCCAAGAAGGCTCTTCCCCAAACTCATTTCACTTCTCACTTTGCTGGCATTTCAAACCTAGATTCTCTGAAGTGAAGAATAAACTCCTCTAATCTTTGGCACCCCTGGAAAAGAGAACCAATCCTTTTTTTTTCTTTTGAAAGACAAAGAAAACATTATGATCCTTTGACTGAAGACAATGCAGCAGTGGCCACAATGCATTTGAAGTGCTCTATATTCTGCTCTGCTTGTCTGTCCATCTGAAGAATTATTATGGTAAAACCCTGTGACTAACAGCACAAGCTTTGTCTTTGTTTCTTTGCTATAGCCTTACAGTTACAATTAAGTGCACTCTGCTCATTCATTGCTTCTTGAGACACAAGTTTAGCTTAGGAAAATGAAGCTGTGTTCTTTATTTGTTCATAAAGCATTATTAATAGCTAGGAAGAGAAAATGCAAAAGATGCAGTACCGACTATGACTGTACAGAAGATTTATCACGTAAGATAAAGTTGGGTCATTCTCTTCAGCATCCTGTATGGCTAAAGAAAANCGAGCCTCTGTCTCATTCCTGAAGATATAATAATTTTGTTAAATACTATTGTTAAATACTAACAATACTATTTGTTAATAGTAGTTATATGTTGTAATATATATTGTGACAATACAGCTGACTATGGCCTGTGCCTCAAATGGTTAATAACAAGGCTTAGAGCCAGGGACAAAATGTCCCATGTTTATTTAAAAAAATAAACAAATATTTAAGACATTTAAAAGATAAATGTCTACATAAATAGAAAAAAAAGATGAGAAAATATCTGGTGAGTGGAAAATAAAATATCAGTAAATAAACAGTAAATATACTCTGATCTCTCTTCAGATACTGTAAACTTTTCTCCTTTTGCAAGTTTAAATTTGTGAAGTCTAGAATGTATATTATGGGCAAAACTGAATGATAATACCACATTGTTTATTGCCTTTCTATCATAGCAATAGATAGGCTATTTGTTGCCTTCTAGGTATCAAATACCAGGCAAAATTACCATAGAATATAATAATACAATTCTTTATCCACTCTGCATAACAATTGACTATGCTAAATGTCAGGGTTTCATAAAATGGATAGAGTACTCTTTCATTTTCATATGCCCTAGGAACCATTTCAATTAGTGTTTTGCATTTTTGGTTGAATGGTTGGTGCTCTTGAAAAATCAGACAGAACTATTGATGACTGCATGTACACTTATGCCTGTCATATTGCTCTACTGCTGGTAATAATTTGTAGCTGTTCTAAGAACCACCATATGATTTCTGCAATTCTAATATAAAACAAATAAATAGATTCTATCCATTCCCTTAATCCACTGTCTTCCCTCTTCTATTCTTCTCTTAACTTTATCAAGCAATACCGGGTTTTGTATACCATCTTCACTTGTTACATTCATTTAAAATATTGAATTTATATTTGATGATCATCACCTCAACAGAGAAGGCTGTCTTTATATGATGGAGTAGGTCTTCTAACAATCCATAGTAACTGTTGCCAAAACCATAAAATGAAAGTATTTATAATCTTCTGACACTTTTACATCATAATGTAAACAATGGCATTAATCTAATTGTTGTGTATTAGCTTTTTCACAATAGCAAATCTATTTCACTGAAGAAATTCCTTGGTGAACATTTCAATTGTCACAAAGAACTAGTTGGCATGAAATTATTTAACAGGAACATTTCCTTTAGAAATAGATCCTTCCCCAGCTGCTGTCTGTTTTATTTAAGATGCTAACAGAATATAAGTCACTATCTGGCCACCTAAAGTATGAGATAGAACTGATTTAGATGCCTATGGGTATGTTCTTTATCCACCTGGTATGTCTGCTCACATTTCACACACAAATCAGTAGAGAAACCTGTCCCTCCCTATAAATCAAGTCACAGAAAGCATGCTTCTTTTTCCCAATGGGGGAAGGGAATTTGACAGCTTGGCATTAGATTTATTTGGACCATTATTATGATCTTATCGCTATGCTGAAGATATACCATCCATATTTTGAAGCTTCTAAATTTTGTAGCAGATCAGGGATTTGAACCCAACTCTTCTCATTTTAATAGTTTTGTCACTGAATTACGAACATAACTCTGGCTGTAACAATTGATGCTTTATGTCTGTTTTATTGTGGTTAACAAGTAATGGCAAATAATCAAGCTGGAAAGGAAGATTAATTCCAGTGGCATAAAATATTGTACATCTGAGAAAATTCTACAATGATCTTTACAATATGAACTGACCACTAGAAAGCAAAAAAGGCATTTTTGTATTCTAAATTATGAAGAGATGTTATAAAGAAGAAATTATTAGTAGATGTAGTATATCCCTTTTTTGACTATTTGTTTGACTTTGTTTTTTTAATCAGTGATGTCATCAAAGTAAACAAACTCCATGTATTGACATCATCAGTCAGGGTCCTAATCAGAAGTGACCTACATATCCCCCAGTTCTGTGATATGATGTGCATTACCCTCCCCCCCAAAAAAATCTGATAGTTTGGTTTGAATATGCATGGAATTAGGTTCGGGGTTAAACTAATTATGCAACTTGGGTTGACTATCACACTTTTCTTGATGGGATTAGTTTCAATCAATTTTATTTGATTAAAGTGGTGACCTTGTGATTTCCGCATCACATTGATGGAGGAGAGTTAGGTAGGTCATATCTAGGAAGAAGGGTTATGCACATCGTTTCTGGAGGGGGAGATTACTATGCACTTTATTTCCACCATGACTTGGTGAAGTCAGTACCATGTATTGAGCTGAGGTGGCGCAGTGGTTAGAGTGCAGCACTGAAAGCTACTTCAGCGGACTGCTAGCTGCAGTTTGGCAATTCAAATCTCACCTGATCAAGGTTGACTCAGCCTTCCATCCTTCCGAGGTGGGTAAAATAAGGATCCAGATTGTTGGGGGTAATATGCTGACTATGTATATGCTGACTTAGAGAGGTCTGTAAAGCACTATGAAGTGGTATATAAGTCTAAGTGCTATTGCTATATGGTGTTTGATTTCTTTGATGACATCACTTATTTAACAAACAGCTAGGCTGCCATCAAAAAAGGGAAACATTATATCTACTATTATTTGAATGCATTTCATTTGGAACGGAATTCACACATTTAAAAGGTAACAATCAATGGTTAAATATAAAAGTTATAAAATAGCAAGGTGTTCAATCAACCTATAACCATTAGTTGTCCAACAACTCACTTTTATGGGATAAAATTTTGAGCAGCATTTTAATTTTTATGGATGCAGGTTTTGATTTTATGAGATTAGAATGCTCTTATCACCTTTTTATTGAATGGCATTTTTTTTCCAGAAAAAGACTGAATCTAAATCTAAATATTTGAAGGGAATAGAGTGCAGAAGAGAAAAAAAAATAAGTGAAAACACATTGCTCCTTATTAATTTATACACTGAATAGATGTTTGTGCTATAGCAAAAACAGAAAGAAAACAATATATTACTGTAATTTCTAGCTTGTCATAATTTGGCCTTGGTTGCAATCACACACTTGACTTTTAGAAGGTGCTCATGTGCTTCAGGAGTTGATTGACTCCACATTCATGGCAGATGATGTTGGAAGGAGCATCTTTTCTTTAAAATAATATAGCTTTCACAATTTCAGATATCACAGTAGTCAGAAAAAAACGTTCTTTCAGAACATACCTGTATTATAACCTCTTCCAAGAGCTGGCCAGGGACGATGGTTTTTCCAGAGGTTTCCTAGGTACCAGTCACTCTGATTCTCTACCAAACCAAGAACCTGCTGGCCTAAAAATGCACAAATAAACAAATCAAATCAAGAGTCAAAAATCAACTTGTAGGGAGATAACCATAATATATAGACAAATAGATGCAAAAAGAGAATTATGCATAGATTTCAAATATGAAATGTAAATATGTTTAATGTAATTACAATTTAGAATTAACTTGGAAATATAATGAATTATATATTCAACAAAATAAAATACAGAAAAAATGCAAGTCCCCACAACTATGTGATAGTAACAAATATCCTGAGAATGCTTTTATGGAAGATATGAATATATAAAATATATAAAAATCTTTCAACCTTTTGCTCCCTTCTCCCCAAAGTTAATCAAATGCTATTTAATTATTTACCTATAACAAATTTTCTCCTTAAAGAAAATTAAGTTCCTCCAAAATTGTTTAAAAAGGAGAGTTAATAGTTTACTTTTAATTGAGATATTTAAAAATGTTAATCAGTTCTTTGTAGTACCTACACCAGCCTCCAACAACATTATGTCATAAAATGAATCTGTAATATATTCCAAATAGTATAATTCTATTTACAACTATTCACAAAGCTTTCTACTATGGAAAAAAATGCTTTACAGTATTAATTTATCTCACCCTTTAACTCTCTGTCTCAACAAGTCTTATATAATCAAGTTAAGTTACAATTTTAAAAAAATCAGAATCATAAGATATTATATTTAAAATGCAGCCAACTAAGCATGTACATGTGTGTTACATTATTGTTTCCATGAAAACTTTAAAACACTTTATAAGCCTGGATCGTTACAACTTATATTCCATGGGTTCCTCAAAATTGTAATTGATTACATTTCACTTTGTTATTCATCAATATGACAGTTTAGATCAGGGGTGTCAAACTCAAGGCATGGAAGCCAGATCCGACCTGCAGGGTGCTTATATCTGGCCCGTAGGGTTGCCCTGGAAGCAGCGAAGGATTGGCCTGTGGTATCTCTGCCAGCAAAAAGGGAGTTTGGGAGGGTAGCATGCAGCTTGCCATTTTCGCTTGCAGAGGGTCACTGGAGCCTGTCACAGATGAAAATGGAGCTTGGGAACCCGTTTTTGCTGGCAGAGCATTCTCTGGCAGAGTGACGAGCTGGCCACACCCACCCCAGCTCCCCGAGGTCAAACACAACTGATGCAGCCATCAATGAAATCAAGTTTGACACCCCTGCTTTAGAAGTTTCCTCCAGTTTTTCCATTATTGTAGAAAGCAGAGTCATATAGTTTCTTATTATAATTCATATCAGATGTATTAGATTATTTTGTTTCCTGAAAGAAGTACCCCTCTGATTTTTTTGTCTTAAACTCAGCATGGTAAATAACTGGTAACAGAAGTGAGATGTCTGGACTTAATTTATTTCTATAAGCATCCCAGACTCTTAAAGAAGTGTGGGATTAATATTTCATCTTTAATTAAACAGTTTCTTTTTCTTCCCTCTTTGAGTCAATGAGGTGTTAAAAGAGAAAAGTTGATTTTACCATGTTTTGAACTAAGTCATTGTTCTTGAACTTCAAGGTTAAATAAATGGTAGCAACTGTACTCAGAAAATGACTTGCATTTTCTGTGCTCAGAAAATGACTGCATCTAAATTGCTCAAGCTACAAAGTGACTTAATGGGATACCATCAAGGACTTATTATTCAAGCCATGTTGAACTCTTCTCAATATATGTTTGAAAAACTGTAGAGTTCTCATTGGAAAATGTTTTATGAATTGATCCCAAACTTTGGAGGAAGGATTTTAGTTTATCCCAATCAGTACTACCTTTTATTTTTTCATCAGAATTTCACATCTTGTTTTAAATGGATTCTTTTAAGGTAGGAAAAATCAATACACAGATATTTATCTTTATTTTTCAGAAGTATATACTGACAATTGCTCTATTTAGCAATAGATGCACTTTATCTCATCTGATAAGGATAGATAGTCCCACGAACATACCTATGCACTCATAAAATTGAATTATGAGCCATCAGGTTGGTATCAACAGTGTTGACATAGATAGATTTTCTTCTAATCGAGTCCTCCAGATGTTCCAATGCACCATTGTCACTGTAACTGAGTCCATCCACTAGTAGTCATCTTCTTTTTGATTCCATTTCCCCCAGCATTTTCTACAGCATGTGTTCAAAGTAGGATAATCTGAGCTTAGTCATTTGTGTTTTGAGAACTGTGTTGATTTGGTTCCTCCAATTTTAAAATCACATTCAACTTCTCACAAATCATATAGCTTGAGTAAATTAGTACACAGCCTTGCCTGACTCCTCCATCAACCTAAAGCTAGTCCATTTTGCCTTCTACACTGTAGCCTCCTCACCTGTATATATGTTTTGTAGGAGGACAATGATATGTTCTACAATTTCCATTTTTCTAAGCACATTTCATAGCTTGAAGGATTTTCTATAATTAATGAAGCACATGCTGGCTTCTTTTTGGCATTATTTGACTTTTCTAATTATCTAGCAAGTGTCAACAATGTTGCATATTCCTTAGTCTTTTCTGAGGCCAACTTGATTATCTGGCATCTCTTTTTCCATGTAGGCTTTAAATTGCATTGGATGATGCAAGTATTTTGATAGCATTAAAATAGCTGAACAAAACATCATAGGTCAAGCACTAGCTGTATATATTTGTTCACATGCTGTTCTTACGTTTTCTGCAACATGTTTTTCCTTCAATCCTTACTTGAAAATCTTATGAAGGCAGGTTTTACACCTTCATGAAATAATCATTTCTTCCACAACCTTATACCCTGAAGATATTTAGAAATTCAACTCCCATTTGTATCTTATATCAGATAGACAGAAATCAACAATAAATCAAAGCAACACTATTAATAAGTTATATGAAGCTGGCTTATGTGGGTGAATAACATCCATTGCCTGTCTAACTACCTATTCTCAAGCAACAGTAATTTTTGGAGATAGGTAGGCACAAATGATGAACACATCAACAACATGGCTGTTGTAGCAAGACCAGTTATAAAATACCCATTAATCCAAGGCAAGATGGTGATGTTGTTTTTGTGATTGTTTCTATTCTCCCAAAATTTTCTCAATCATCCCTGCTGTTTTAGACAGATACATACAAACACTTCCAAACAACCACCCATACTTTCTATTTTCTAAGAATGGAGATGAATCTATGTAGTTCCACCCTTGCAAGTACACTTAATGCTCGGGGTTTATAAATAATGTAACTTGAAATGCCAGTTTTCAATTTAATTAAAAAAGAAACTTGGCAGGTACCAAAAATGGTGTCTGTAAAGTACCACATTTTTTGTCCCTGTATCACATATAATGTTAAAATATTTCCTTGTTTTACTATTTTCACCATGAATTTGAAATGTTAAGATTTATTCTATAGCTTTCATGCTAGCAAAGCATACCCACCATTAGTCTACAGATGCTCACCACTTTCCTCTTTGTTTCACATTCTTTTTCAACATAATAAAAGGTAGAAAATTGAATAGAAATTTGTCTAGTTTAAGTTGTTCCAGACCATATATTTTTATTTCTATAACATATTCCACATATTTCCTATTTTTATATTTGAAAAATGTTAGATATTAAGACTACTATGCTACTTTTAGAATATAGATTTTCCTTCATATTCTGTATTTCATATTCTTATTTGAGAAAAATCCAGAGAATAAAGCAAAAACTAATATAAATCTTAATAGAGTACTATGAGTAAGTGTGAGCATCTTGGAAAGAAAGTGTTTTTTTCCAGGTCTTTCTTCTTTTTGTCATAATATCCATATAGCCCTACTCACACATATATACTCTTATTTGGCTCTGATTGAAAATAATCAAGGATGACTCAAATGGAAAAAAAAAACTTTATTAGTAATAAGAACAAGCTAACCCTGTTTTTTTTTTTGTCCAACAATACATTTCATATCTCAGCAGTCTTCATTGTTAGGAAGATTTTGCATCCATAGAGAAAAGTGAGAGTCTCATTTGCAAAAAGTTGATATTGAATACCTTTTCTAAAGACTTATCAATAGAATAACAGAGTTGGAAGGGACTTTGGAGGTCTTCTAGTCCAATCCCCTGCTTAGGCAGGAAACCCTATACCACTTCAGACAAATGGTTGTCCAATCTCTTCTTAAAAACTTCCTAACAATGAAGACTGCTGAGATATGAAATGTATTGTTGTACAAAAAAAAACAGGGTTAGCTTGTTCTTATTACTAATAAAGTTTTTTTTTTCCATTTGAGTCATCCTTGATTATTTTCAATCAGAGCCAAATAAGAGTATATATGTGTGAGTAGGGCTATATGGATATTATGACAAAAAGAAGAAAGACCTGGAAAAAAACACTTTCTTTCCAAGATGCTCACACTTACTCA